CTGCTGGGCTCAGGTGATCCTTCCACCTCAGCCTTCCAAGTAGCTGGAACTTCAGGCACGTGCTACCACACCCAGCTAATTTTTTGGTTTATTGTAGAGATGAGGTCTCACTGAGTTGCCCAGGCTGGTCTTCAACCTGCGGGCTCAGGCAATCCTCTCACCTCAGCCTCCCAAAGTGCTGGGATTATAGGCGCAAACCACCTCGCCTGGCCTCTAGTACTTTCGGCTAACGTATTGAGTCCTGACGGTTACCACACTTTCTTCCCCTTGGGCCCCTGCAGACACCACAGTCAGTGTCCATGGGAGATGCTGATTTTCCTGATAGTGTCCTGAGTGCAAGCAAAGAGCAGTTCCTGGCAGGGTGACCTGGCTGAGCTGGAGGTGCTGAGTCCCTGGGGCTCTGGCCTGAGATGGCCTAGTGACCCTTCCCGTCACACATGGCACAGCTGTGAGGGCCAGAACGTGCAGGCGAGACTCTACTGAGGGCTAAGGGACAGAAACGGGAAGCCAGGACGAGAGGGCATGGCCCCCAGGAATGGGCCCACCCTGGACTCCCCCACAGGGGCCCTCTCCTGGCAACCATGGCTCCAGGGGCCACAGGACACTTTACATGAGTGTGTGTGTGTCTCTTCTTTCTGGGAGAGAGGGTCCCACGTGCCGTTCATCAGATTCTCAGAAGTGTCTGTGAACCAAAAAGGTTAAGAGCCACGATCCCTAAGGAATCCTGCCACACCGCCCAGACCAGCTCCCATCCAAACCTCGACCAGGCCGTGCGACCCTGAAACTCAGATGTCTACCACTATCACCTCAGTGTCACTTCTGCATGGTTCCTGGCCCTTGTCAAGGGCAGAGGACCCGTCAGCCTGGCCGCCCCGAGCACACCAGAACTGCCTGTCCTTCACATTCCTGCACTTTGCAACCCCCAACACGCACCCGATTTGTGGGCCTTAGCCCCTACCCAAGGACCAAAGTTCTTGTCCCAGCTCCTGGGGGAGGCCAACCAGGAGGACCCTGGAGATATTGAGACTCCCCCAAGGCTTGACGCAAGAGATAAAGGATGAGCCCTGTCCCTGCCCCAGGGCCTTCCCACCCCCTCATGTCCAAGGCCCTGCTCCCTGCCGGACATTCTGCCCTTCCCAGGTGAGGGACTCCAGGACCGAGGCCACTGTCGGGAGGACCTGTCCCTCCCACCTGGGCAGTTGTTCCTATAGAGAGCCTCTGGGGGCAACGGGAACCCTCTCCCACAGGGCGTCCCCCATATACCTGGTTCCTTGGGCGGGCAGGGATCCTCCTTTGGCCATGAAGTCAGAGAGCCTCTTGTCACCCTAGTCTGCTCCTGGCATGGTGGCCACAGAGACTTCCTTAGGACATTCACCACGAGAGCCCCCACCCATGTGCCATGAACTCCTGTGTCTTGGCTCCCTTGACTTGGGCTCGGGGGCTGTTTCGGTCCCTTGGGGCTCTGCTTTAGAGACTCAGGCCAAGGGCTGCCATGTTGGGAAATTCCCAGAGAAAGCTGGACTCCTTCGCCTCTGACTTCTGGTGGATTCCCAGTCACCATGGACTTGTGATGCTGTAAGCCCTGACTTTGTGTAACCAGTGTTTGGTCAGCCTTCACCTGAAAACCCCAGCAGCCCCCATGAGGCGCTCAGTGAAAGTGAAAGCTGCTTGAACTGCAGTTGCGGCGCCTGTCTTCCACACCGCGTCTGTGAACAAGTGTCCAACGAATGTTCGTTGAGTGCCTGCTCTGTGCGGGCCGGTAGCGGGCTCCAGGGTAGAGAGGGAGGGGAGCACGGTGACTTCCATCTCGGGAACGCTGCAGGCTAAGGCCCAGATGGAGGATGGGAGCCTCCCCTCTTCCCAGACTCCCTCATTGACTACACTGTTGACTGGGCTGACAGCCTCAATATTCATTTCACAGCCTGGTGCCAATCTAGCAATTACGGAGGAGTGCTCCAGGCCGACTTCCCATTGGGTAATTGGCAGCAAGAGGCTCTCCCATGGGTTTGAGACGTGTGTGCGCTGACCACGGGCACCGCCTGGGTTGGGCAGGCATGCCCAAAAAGTAATTAAAGCCTGCTGTTCCCTTTTCTTTCTTTTCTTTTCTTTCTTTTTTTTTGAGTCAGAGTCTCACTCTGTTACCCAGGCTGGAGTGCAGTGGCATGCTCACGGCCACCCCAGCCTCAACCTGCTGGGCTCAGGCCATCCTTCCACTTCAGCCTTCCAAGTAGCTGGAACTACAGTCATGTGCCACCACGCCCAGATAATTTTTTTGATTATTGTAGAGACAAGGTCTCACCATGTTGCCCAAGCCAGTCTCAAACCCATGGGCTTGGGCAAACCCATGGGCTCGGGCAAACCTCTTGCCTCAGCCTCCCAAAGTGCTGGGATTACAGACGTGAACCCCTGTGCCCGGCTCTGCTCCCTTTTCTTCTCTGGGCACTGCCACTTCTAGGGGGGTGGAGAAGACTCTGGTAACAGGGTCTCCCCTTTGTGCCCCAGCTGGAGCATTTCCGAAGTCAAGTCATCAAGGCCACCTACGGATGGGCAAAGCCATTCCCAGACAAGCCTGTCACGGACCAGCAGGTTTGTTTGGCTTTTTCCCGCCTCACGGCTCCTTCCCTGTCTCCTTCTTCTCCCGGGATCCGGATTCCAGACCCTGGGAGCATCTGTTTCTGTTTTTGTTGGTGGCACATATTTTTCACACTGTTGCTACACCATAAAGATTTGTTTTGATTTTATGGGATTTCCTGGCTTTTGAAATACAAGCCAGTTAAACTCCCTTGAAATGTTCCTGTGAAAATCAAATTAAGCCATTCCGGCTCACTCCTGGTCTCCAGACATGAGTGTTCAGCTCTCACAAGCACCATGAAAGGGGACCTCCTTCTGCCGTCAGTGTGTTCCGGCATGTTCCTTCCCGAGAGGAAAGGTGGCCATGGCCATGAGGGCAGACATCTGGTTGTAATGTTGCCTTGTTATCCTTCCAGTTTCTCCTTCCGACCCTCTGTGTCCAAGCACAGATAAGAGACGCCTTGGCCGCCCGCGAGGGCACGGGAGCTCCTGGTCTGTGCATGAGCCCACGGTTTCAGCTTCATGCTGGGAATCGCTGCCACTGTGCAGAAGAATCTGGAACAAACTCATGGCAACAATACAGGCTTTTGGTACCTAAAAATCATCTCTGATCCTGGGACCCCTTCAGAGCCATCACCAACATGTCACGACCGACCTCCTCCCCTCCTCTGCCAGGGCAGGACATAAGTTCGGGCACTTCTGAGCTCCCCTGAATTTTACATTTTGTTTTTCTTTTCCTTCTTCTTTTTCTCACCAGTTGATAGAGAAAATTACCCAGGTCACAGAGGACAACATCAACTTTCAGCAGAAAAGGTGGAACCTGCAAAAGGAGACCCAGCTCAGCAACTCCAGGCAGGAGGAGACCGCCGACAACATTGAGAAACTGAGGACATTGCTGGACAGCTGCCAGGTAGCCCCTGGTTCTGCTGCCCACAAATGGTCCCTTTGTCCCATTTCTGTGCCTCGTTTTTGGGAAGTTGTCCAGTTTTCGTGGAGCAAGTTGGGCAGAAGTGCTTGGCTCTTTTGTCCACCTTTTCTCTCACTGGAGAAACTTGTTAGAGAACAGAAAACAAAGGACTTCAAGAAATGCCTCCTGGGTGAACTTGGTGTGGCCAAAAAAAGATGCCCAGGCACCTTCAAGTACTGACTCTGGGAGACCCTATGTTATTTTCAGAGGAACCAAAGAAATGTGCCTGCTCTTGATTTGCTTTTTTTTCCCCTTTGGCCCAGAGTGAAAGGCTGTTTCCAGTCCGCTACTGTGGTCTCTGGGGAGCAGGGGCCAGAGGGTCTATCCATAGCCCCCGGCCCCAGGCTGGAACACACTTCTCAGAGCAGGCAGCTGCTTCTGCTTTCTCTGGAAATCAGTAGCTACTATTTGGGGAATCGGGGCAAATGTTGGCCTGTCAGCACTCTCTCACATCAGGAAACCGTGCTTTCTGACCAGCTTGTGTGTTGAATTTTGATGAACAAAAGTGGCCACACTTGGCTTTCATTTCAACCAAGTTGATGGCAGTTTGGCTTCACGATTATGTAGACTTAAAAGTGGCTTCACTTTGACCATCAAAGTCCAAATTTGAAGCCAGGCGTGGTGGCTTACACCAATAAATTCCAGCACTTTGGGAGGCTGAGGTGGGAGGACTGCTTGAGCCCAGGAGTTTGAGACCAGCCTAGGCAACATCCTGAGATCTCATCTCTACAAAAAATCAAAAACATTAGCTGGGCATGGTGGCGTGCACCTGTTAGTCCCAGGTACTCAGGAGGCTGAGGTGGAAGAATCGCCTGAGCCCAGGAGGACAAGGCTGCAGTGAGCCGTGATCCTGCCACTGCATTCCAGCCTAGGTGACAGAGTGAGACCCCGACTCAAAAAAAAGTCCAAATTCAAGTGCAAATAAATAAATCAATAAAAATGCCCCCCCAAGGCAAATGGAGCCATCCCAGGGTGGCCAATATGTGGTATATGGTGCTGCCTATGTTGTGGCAGAGTCGAGAACGTTGTCCCCTACAGGTCCCGTCAGGCGCTGTCTCCGGGCACAGGGCCCAGGCCCCTCACGGTCCCCTCTCTTTTCAGGCATGCATGAAAACGTCCTCCTGCAGCGGCGACCTGCGGAGGGAGGTAGACCTGCTTAGGCGCCTGCAGGTGAGCGACCCCGTCTCAGGGCTCCAGGAGGTGGCGCTGGGCATCCTGAGGCTGGCGCTGTCCTGGCTGGAGGAGACGGAGCAGCTGCTTGGGGACCTCGGGATCCACGTTCCCCGCCCTGACACAGGTGACTGCGCCGTTTCCCACCTAGCTGCGGCCACCTTTTCTCTCACTGTGGTGCTGAGTCCCGGCACACGTGCAGGGACCCCTGTCGAGGAAGTCGCCATGGGGACGGGGCCAAGAACTTACTCCCTTCTCCAGACTTCCTTGAGTGACTTTCTGTTAAAAAAAAAAAAAATACGCAGCCGGGCTCGGTGGCTCAGCCTGTAATCCCAGCGCTTTAGGAGGCCGAGGTGAGTGGATTGCCTGAGCCCGCGGGTTCGAGACCCACCCGGGCAACTTGGCGAAACCTCATTTCTACAATAAATCAAAAAAATTAGCCGGGCGTGGTAGTGCGTGCCTGTAGTTCCGGCTACTCGGAAGGCTGAGGCGGAAGGATCGCCGGAGCCCAGCAGGTCAAGGCTGCGGTGGCCGGGAGTGGCCACTGCACTCCAGTCTGGGCTACAGAGTGAGACTCCAACTCAAAAAAAAAAAAAAAAAGCGCAGTGGGACACGACTGCTGAAGGAAAGTGAACTGTAACAGAGACAGAGGGAAAAGTAAATCAAAGTCATGGAAACTCCTGTCTTTCAGTAGTAACGACTGTTACATTTTGTAACTTTCAAGGTGTTTCCCCTGGAAATAACTGCATGATTCTAGACAAGTTACCTACCTCTCCATGCCTCAGTTTCCTCACCTGTAAAATGGGGGTAATAAGAAATCTCCATCTCTGAGGGTTGTTGTGAGGATTCAAATGCATTGAGTTATGTACAGTCCCTGGCACAGAATGGGCATGGTGGAATGTTTACTGATTATTTTTTTAATTTTACCAAAAAAGATTTTTTTTTTTTCATTTTGATCTTAGTGGTACGTCATCAGGAAGCCCCTCCTAGGTCCACAGGCAGATGTCTATCCTCCCAGTTACTGACGGCAGGGAATCTCACTGAGGGAGAGGCGGGGAGTACCATCACTTATTCAGCCAGTCCCCCCCGGGGGGGGGCATGTAGGATGTTTTCGGTTTTCCACACTGAGTCGCCGCCCTGAGATGAACATGATCGCACATGTGACTACTCGTCTTGCCTTGATTTTCCTAGAGGAGGAAGGGCATGAACACTTCTGTTCAATAAAGATTTCCTGCAGCTTACTAGACTCCAGGCCTGAGCAGGGCAGAGACAGAATGGGGTTGGGACAGTGAGGACCCAGGTTGTGGATGGGGGGTGTTCACTGTAAAATCCTTCCAACTTCACTGTATGCTTGGAGTTTTGTACAATAAAATATTGAGGTGAGCCGGGCTCGGTGGCTCAGCCTGTCATCCCGCGCCTTTGGGAGGCTGAGGTGAGTGGATTGCCTGAGCCTGCGGGTTCGAGACCCGCCTGGGCAGCGAGACCTCATCTCTACAATAAATCAAAAAAGCAGCTGGGCGTGGTAGCGCATGCCTGTAATTCCGGCTACTTGGAAGGCTGAGGCGGAAGGATCGCCGGAGCCCAGCAGGTCGAGGCTGCGGTGGCCGGGAGCGGCCACTGCACTCCAGTCTGGGTGACAGAGTGAGACTCCAACTCAAAAAAAAAAAAAAAAAAAATTGAGGTGAAAGCAGGCACCATCCCTCCCCTCACAGATCGTATGGTCCCAGGGGAAGGATGGGGGGCATTCACGGGAGGACCACTCAAACAAACCCACAACTTGAATGGCGACAGTTGCTGCCAAGAAGGGTGGGCTCGACCCGGTCAGGGAGGGCAGGGCATCTGCAAGATGCATAGGAGTCATCTGCCAAAGAGGAGAGGGGAGAGTATTCTGAGCGGCAGGAGCTGCGTGGAGGTGGGGGGAGCCGCGTGGTGGTGGGGGGGCACGTGGTGGGACGCAGAGGTGGGGAGGCGTGGAGAACACAAGGGCTGAAAGAAATGTGTGCGAGGCCGGGCGGGGCAGGCTGGCGAGGGAGGTTCTCAGGGGCCATGCATGTGGGGTTGGCAAGGGCAGGGTGGGAAACTTCATCCTGAGAGCAGTAAGAAACCAAGGGAAGGCGTTAGGCAGGAGCTGACGGACCAGCGTGCATTTTGAGACAGTCATCTGGGTGGCAGGCGACCACACCCTGGAGGATGGTCAGTGCGGAGCCCCAGGAGCCCAGCTAGGGGCTGCTATAAGAGATGACGAGGCCGCACTAGGGTGGGGGGAGAGACACTTTCGGTGTGTAAGAGGTCCACCAACCGGCCTCAGTGGAGGGACTGGGGGTGGTTGGAAGGCAGAGAGGTCTACACGACTCTAGCATGAAGGATAAGTGTTTCCTTTCTCCAGATTCCTAAAATCTAGAGGAAGAAAAGCCAGGTGAGGCCCGGGTTTGAGGGGGAAGATGGGTGTAAGCTGCCTATGGGACATCCAAGGTGAGGTGCCCAAGGGGCAGTTGTTGCCCTGTCTGGAGACAGATGATAATAGTGTGTCCCCAGCACCCAGTGCCACATAAATATTTGTGGGATGAAGGGAAGAAGGGATAGAGGGTGGGTGGGTGGCTAGATGGATGGGTGGATGGGTGGATGGATGGATGGATGGATGGGTGAGTGGATAAGTGGGTGGGTGGATGGTGGATGGCTGGATAGATGAATGAATGATTAAAGCCACAGGTGTGAAAAGCACTGCTTAGAAGGTTGTTTCAGGACTCTGTCTCATGATTTACCTGATTCCAGGTGTGCTCACAACTTACATGCAGGTATTGAGTGAGAAAGGGGGCGCGCACAGGGACACACCTTCATGAGTGCCAACATTCTGAAGCTTATCTCTTCTCCTTGCCAAATCACCCTCCAGAGAGGCTGCTGAATCTGACATTCTTGCAGCCTCATCTGAGAAGAGAGGAGGGATGTTCAACCCTTCTGCTCCAACATCTCCAGCAGGCTGTCTTTGAAGCATCCGGGAGGTGGTGTGAAGTTCTTTTAAAAAAAAAAAAAAAGAAGAAGAAGAAGCAAAAGAAGAATCAAGATCAAGTTTTATGTAGGAGAGCTTCCCTCATCACGTGGCATAGAGTGTCACTGTTCTTGTCATTGTGGCAGAGTCGTGAGCTCACTTGAAGTTCGGCGAAACACGAATTAGAGTTCTAGTTGTTCTTCAAGACCAGAACTCAAAAACAGATCATGATCTCCATCCTGGCAATAGTAGGGCCAAGCTGTGTCTGCATCGACCCCTCCCCATTCCCAGACCATTGTGGCCACTGTATCCTATGTCTGTAAAGCTAGACATGTGATACCTTAAGGAAATGTGTGTTGTTGCTGAGTGTGCAGTGGCTAACACTTACAATTCCAGCTACTTGGAAGGTGAGGCAGGAGGATCACTTGAGGTCGGGTGTTTGAGACCAACCTGGGCAATATAGCGAGACCCTGTCTCCAAAAAATATAAATAAATAATACATTAACCAGGTATTGTGGTGCGTGCCTATAGTCCCAGCTACTCGGGAGGCTGAAGCGGGAGGATTACTTGAGTCCAGAAGTTAAAGGCTGCAGTGAACCATGGTTACGCCACTGCACTCCTGCCTAGGTGAAAGAGTGAGATCCTGTCTCAAACAACAAAAATAATGTGGGCTGTAAAGTTACACAGGCAAGCAGCTCCCGAAAGACTGAGAAACTAGTTTTAGGAGCACTTCTCAGACCTGCCATCTTTTCTCCTGACTTCGTAGAGTCATGAGATTTGAGCAGCATCAGACAGGTCTCTGCAGACTCCCTCTGTGTTCACATGCACTGTGGGTCTTCAAGAAGGGGATGAAATACACAGTGTTTCCAGAATACCTTAGCCCTGAGCACTTGGTTGGGCTGAAGCCCAAGGGGCCCTTTCTGGGCCTCCTCCTCAGAGTCATGACAATGGGCCCCATGTCCCAGCTGCCAGGGGCCAAGCTCTGACTCAGTCCAAGTTCCTCTGGCCCCAAACTCCCTGCTTTTGACCACCATTGCGCTGCCTGTCTTTTTGTCCTAAGACAGAAAACAGATAACCAGCTAGGTCTGTAAATCCTGAAACCAATCCCCCAGGACGTCAAGGCTGTGTAGAAAGGGGAAGACTTGAAGGTTGTCAGGAGAGTCTCACGGCCCACAGGTGAAGCCTTCAGGACTCTGTGTGTGCCCACCAGTCGCCTGATGGCAGGAGTCATTGTGTAGTTCCCTGAGAAGACAGGAAGCATCCAAAGGGACCTTGAAAGTTGGCTGCAGCCTCCGCCCACCTGGCGTCTCTGTTCTTTGATAAGAGAAAGAAAGGACTTTCTACTTTTTTCTCTACAAGTTCTTTGTGTCTACTTCTGCAAGACTTTGTTACAAATAAAAGGCTTTCCTGTATGTGTGGAAAATCGCTCTTTCTCAAATCTCCAAGATACACACTATCTTTAAGTGAAAAGAAAGTACATGGCAGCTTGGTATGCACACTGTGCTCCCATGTCTGTTTTTTTTAAATGTCAATATCTGACCAAAAGAGAAATCTGGAGACAAAGACATCAAACCATTGAGTATTATCCCTGCAGGATAGGATTGCGTGGGACCTTGACTTTCATACCATCATTCAACAACTGTTTCTTGAGGTCCTACTGTGTGCCAGCCACAGCACGGAACACTGAAGAACACTCCCCACATCATGGATTTCTGTGATGTTTGCATTTGTGTAATGAGCACAAAGAACGTTTGTAACCAGAAATATAATAAAGACTTGCTCCTAAACCGGTGCGGTTGCTCACGCCTATAATCCCAGCACTTTAGGAGGCACAAGAGGACTGCCTGAGCCCAGGGATTCGGGACTGAGCCTGGGCAACATGGCGAGACCTCGTCTCTACAATAAAAAAGAATCAGCCAGATGTGGTGGCGTGTGCCTGGGGTTCCAGATACTTGGAAGGTTGAAGCGGAAGGATCACCTGAGCCCAGCAGGTCGAGGCTATAGTGGCTGTACTCCAACCTGGTGACAGTGAGACTCTGACTCAAAAAAAAACCCAAAAAAAAAAAGACTTGCTCTTTCTCCCAAAGATCCCATTACAATTCCGTTTCA